TGGCCACCACCGGTGTTGACTAAGATGAACATCTTCTTCTTCATTTCCCCTCCCTCTGTTCTTCCCCCTCCTTCCCACAAATCCTAAAACCCAATTCCTCTGCCGGCCACCATGAACCACCACCACCACAAGGTTTCATCCAACCACCTAGAACAAGACTCTTCCCTCCCTGCATCTTCTTCTGGCTACCGATCTCCCTCCGTCTTCTCCGCTGCTGCATCTCTAACCCTTACAAACAAACAAAGATTTGTCAATTTTTTTTTCTTTCCTTTTCTTATCTGGTTCAGTACCAAAGACAGTATAAATAATATGATCATTAGTCTGATATTACACCAAACATCCGACTAATTTAGTCAGTACTATCCGTTGGTTATTTATCCTGTCCGACAAAAATAGTTAGTATAGTCCGAGCTACCAAACGAGGCTAGTCTTAGCACAAATTGTTTTTACTTACACAAACATTATGGTATGCCAAATTTTATTTCAAATACGTGGTATATCATCTTTGATGCAGTGCATGGGGAACATATATTTAAGGTTGTAGTGACTTCTCTTCTCTCAAAACCTTTATCACCTTCTTGATGCAGGAGAAGCCAAGGGTAAATGAATATAACGAGGGATAATAACTTGGGAATCACTCAACCAAGGCAACGGAACTCGCTCGACGTCGCTACGGGATAGATACTGAGAATCACTCGACCAGGGGCAACGGAATCACTCACGTTGCTAATAGTGGTCTCTCTCTCTTTCTCTCTTCCTTTCCTTTCTTGTTGCGCAATTTGTTATTTAGGGTTAGGTTTGTATGAATTTGTAGTTTGAATGGTAAATAATTAGGGTTTGGTACTGTTATATGGTGTTTGAAATGTGTTGTTGTGTTGGGAACTTGGGACAGTCGCTGAAACTAACAAGCAAGACACCGAGTGTAGAGTCGTGAGCTCATGATTGGTATTGAAGGCAAACTACTATAAACAATCAAGAGTGCCAATTCAGAAAGAGAGCTGCGATTATCACAGAGTACAAATTGTACAATGGTTGGAGGCAAGGTGGTCACGACCACTACAATGAGTCGGATGTGCGAGAGCCACAACTCTATGAGGATACAAGGAAGACTTGACACTGCGGAGGGTTTGATGCTAGCTTGGTCTGTGAAACAAGGCATGTCGAGCAAAGCACGCAAACGCAAAACAAGTACAAGACATACTCGTGCAGTACCATAGCAAGCCTAGCCTAGTTACGCAATGCATAAGACGCAAGGGCTAGGTACGATATCTGAAGCCAAGAGAATGCAAACGCACATGAACATAACACAGAGGTTAAGCTTATAAGATTTTATTTCATAATATTATATATAAACTTTTAAAACATATTCTCACGAACTTAGTTCTGCATTTCCATCTAGCAAATAAGCACAACACCATATATAACATACCATAACATATATGAACACTACATATCATATAACCTGATCCAGCATGAACTCAGTTTTACCCAATTAAATACATTTCTGTTCACGAGTCCACCATAGCCGATTGGAACTTGCCTCCTACTATCTCTCTTCCCTTTTTCACTGGGCAGTCTTCAGTCCTGTGGTCATAAGTAGAAGAACAAATCCTGTAATAATTACCAACAGCTTGTCCTACCCATTCCTCACCAGGATGGCCACCCTCTTTTTGACAACATATGCAAACGAGTTTACCGCCGGGGCCGACTTTTTCACCCTTTGGGACATAGTACTGGTATGGACAAAGTGTAACCACATGATCCTCCCTCAAACATGGTGGACATCTCACGTCACGAACAGCAGTCGAAGAGCCTGCACAAGCATTCAAGTTAGTCGAGCATGCTAATCCTAACTTGACACCATAAACATGTGACATGCCCAAGTAAATATCAATGACTAAACTGTGTTTCTGGTACCGAAAGAGGACTGTGCGAGTACTTCAACAAGGGACTGCAAAGGGGTGGACTGGGGACAGACCAGCTAAACTTCCCCAAAACCCTGTCCTTGCAAGTCCAATCGAATTGAAGATTCCCCATACACAAAATCCGTCAGGCAATGGATCCCCATAAGTTAAAGGTTTTACCTATCATCATCCTATCAATAAAAAAGTGTTTTGAATAGTTAATTAAGAACCGTCACACACTAATATTAACTGCATGACCCCTTCAAAGTTGTCGAAAATGATTTATGAACCAAACTAAATAAACACTAGAACTAAAACACCAGCACTGGAGCATATATTAAAAATAGAAATAAAGCTAAATACATAATAACTGTATTATTTGTTATATAATATTGCCCTCGGGGTCACTCTATTGTTCACAAATGGCTCGTTTCCCAGTGGCCTTCTCTGCAGGTTCGGTCAATATGAGGAGGAACCCAAAAAACGAATAAAAACTGGGGAGAGTCAGAGACCGATATTGAATCATATACCCAAAACAGGTTTCTTATAAACAGACCACATATTTAATGGGTTAGATTGTCTTGCCTAACTTTAACACATTCATTCCGCTATTTCGATCATCAGTCTCGAGAGATTATGTTTTGTAAAACAGAGTCAATAATCGTTTTGTGAATGAAGTTGATGAAGACAAAGTCAATAATCGTTTTGTGAATGAAGTTGATGAGGATGGTAGTGAGGTAAGCAAGCTATACTCCCCAAGTTTGTATAATTTCTTAGAAGATGATATTGTTATTCACGTGATCAATGAGATTCTTGAAGGTAGTTTCTTGAATGTTGAGCACCAAGTAAAGATTGTGGATGTGAAGGAAACTTTACGATATATGAGCGAGGTGGTAAATTCAAACTTAATTAATGCAAAACTTCTACATTGGGCAAAAACTCCTTACTCTGATATTCATGATTATATGTGGGATAAATTTCTTTATCATGATGATTTGGCTAGAAGAAATCCTTTGAAGAAGAGAAGCATTGCTTACCATTGGAGTCATATGCCATTTCGAGCTTATCTATTTGAAGAAAGAGTATGGATCAAGATTCCGAACACTCAGTAAATTTCTTGTGCTATTGTACCTGTTATGGAAAAGTTTGAAAGGCCTTCCCAAAGATTGAGGGAAAACCAAAAGTCACTTGAAAACTCGAGGACGAGTTTTTTTGGAGGAGTATGATGCAACGCACTACATTAAATATAGTTTTTATATTAAATTTGATTGTTTGTGGCTTTTCATATTTCAAAGTTATGTTTTATTAGGTTTCTAGTAAATATAATCGTTAGTAATAAATATTTATCCTACCAATGTTTGTAATCTCTCTATTTAAAGGATATGTATGTTTAGGGAGACTTGAATGAATTAAAATATTATTTACTTTGTACATTTGAAGTGAATTGTTTCTCCTTCTAAAATCAAGCATTTGGCTTGGTTAGCGACGTGAGCAAACTTTGTTGTCCCTGGTTGAGCGAATCCCAAGTTATCTATTCCACTCTCCTCGATACCCTTGATTCTGTCTTGCATCACATGTGGTCATCAGTCCTCTTACATATTCTACAGTAGATGGGCGGCGAGATATGTGGTTCGAGACAAAACCATCGACCCGTTTTTGGTTTGTCATCTGTCTCTGCTTCCGCTGTTAAATAAATACACAAATTTAATATCAACATAGATGAATAATATGCACTATTTCCCGTATTTGTACAAAAGAAAAGAAAAAAAAAAAAAAAACACTCTTCATCTTCCTCATAATTCAGAGATTGGCACACCCGAATCACAAACAAAAGTCCAAAAAAATAATAAACATAACTGAAAAATTCGGGGGACTTAACTGGTGTTCTTCCTTTCTTTGAGGGATGATCTTCGTGCCCTTCTCACTCCATTCCTTGTTAAATACACAAAATTTAAAGAACTAATATCTGGGATATATAGCCTTGCTTGCAAAATTAATCACAAAACCCTAAAATTAAATCGAAACCATACCGATCATTATAGTTTTCCTCGATAGCAAAATACACCTTTCCCGGGGGAAGTCCTCGAATTCATCATCATTGCTATCGTCCCATATGAGAACGTTTCAATGTGAATTTCATCTGTACTCGTAAACTTATAGATAAAAGGTTTGTTTTGAAGTACGTGAAATAAAACCTTAATAGTTTAACTAATTCTGTATTTACCTGTATACAGATATCTAAATTTGCGTACAAGCTAATCCAACATTTGATGTGGTTTTCTTATTGTTTTTCATATTATCTGCTTCTGATGGGAATTTTTTAATTACCCACTTTATTCTTTATCTTGAAAACAGATGATGCCCACTTTTTCTAGTTGACGAGGGTGCCATATTTGCAGTGGATACTAGGGATTTCTACAACCATAGTGAAACTGAATCTCATGATAAGGTTCATGAGTTTAACTCAAGACTATTTGGTTTGAAGGGTGGGACACGACGAAATAATCAAAGTATGTTTGCACATTTGGATAAACATGTGCGAAACCTTTTGAAACAGGTAATGCACCATATAGTTATATCTGTGTGGACATGTATACATATATATATATATTATAAGATCATCTAACTTTGAATTAATGTAGGACATAAACCTTACCGTTGAAGGAGTCGCAACGGAAGCTTTGCGATTCATAGATATAATAAAGGGAGAGATGTCCTTCAAATTGCCAACTTTTTTGTATGAAGTGATGGACATGTTTTGAAATAAATAGGTTTATTAATTCAAAAGACAATAGTTGATCAATTTTATTTTTGTTTACAAAGTTGTCAAGCATATAAAGTTGAGTATTCATCACCAAACATTGATCTTTAACTTCCTTTGATGCAAATGGATCCGGCTCTGCTGCGGCTTTTTAACGGTATTGGAATCCAAGTATATGAAAATTTTGCATGATAAAAGTTTTATCATGCTAACTAATGTTTTACAACTTTTAAGTTTTATCTCCAATAAAAACGAAGGAAAGTCAGGCATTTATACTGAACCATATATTCAAATTGGGTTCCTAAAATCAAATTTTATCTTCAATCTCCCAGCAATGAACTAGTAATGTGCGAATGTATTGAATAATTGAAATTAATTTCTCTGTTTACAAAACTTCTATTCTCATTAACTCGAGCCAAACTTAAGTTGGAGGTCACAGTCGAATTATCAGCCAACCAACCATGACCTCGAGCCCGATCCAAAAACGAATCGAGCTGAACTTCAGCTTGAATAAATCATTCCAGGCCATCCTGAAGACAACTATATATATGCTGCAGATAATTAAACAAGCATGAGGCCATCAGATGTCTTCATGATATGACATGAACATTTTTTACTTAATTGACTTTAAGTTCATTCGCCAGCTAACTAGCTTAGGCTATATAATTTCCAAAGCAACAGATCATCTAGGGTTTAGCTAGCTGCTAATTAAACTGAAAAATACAAATGGAAACAAGAGGCTTGATTTCAAACATTGATAAGACAAAAGGTTAATGTAACAAGATTTTATTCATAATAAACGATAACAGATTTTCACAACCAAACCGAATTAAGCATATGATAAAAATAAGAACATGAACTAAATGTTCATAGATACATAGTATAACAGAAAAATACATGCGATTTCTTGCTAATAGTGTCTCACTGTAACGTTGCATTGTGTAACAAAGTATGCATTTGGAAGGTCCACAAAAACCGTTTTATATGTAATATATCCCTGAACAAATCGAAAGTTTCCGATACCTGAAACCACTGATAATTCTCTATATTGCTCGAATTGCTTATCAATTCCTTGAATCTGTAGAGTGCTTCCATTGTACTTTTTGTTTGTGAACACAATTGATAACATATCATAGGCATTACGTCCATCCAATGATGATACCATAAACATGCCTTGTAACCGGCCAACGGAGGCGGACTTTAGATCTATGCCCTCCGTTAAAGGGGCATCCTCCGCATAAACAGTGGCAAATTGATCGTAGTTCCAAATCTTGCCGGGAATACCTGCAAACGCAACATCTGTGATATTTGCACCAGATAAGAAGTCATGAGAGTAGAAAGACAGGTGGGTTTCCTTGAACTCGTGAGTGGCTTGGATCGCTGGAAATGTAGTCATGGCTAGAACAACCATGACGAAAAACATGGATGGAGCACTGAGCTTTGGTATGAATTTTAACGCCATTAGTGGATGCATGACAGCTAATTGAGCAACCAAGAGAAAAGGTTAATTAGGAAAAATTGGGGAACAATTAAGGTTTTCAATTTGTACATGAAAAAGGAGCAATTATTTCTGCTAGTCAGCTGTTTAACTTCCCTAAATTACTTCCGTGTTGCGTCCTGATCACTTGAGAATTGTTTAAGCAATAATATATCCATGCATGCAACACACTTTAATATACAAATACATTAAATCCTGTTGCCACCTGACTGCATCAGATAAGATGTCATGAAAGTAGAAAGACAGGCGGGTTTCTTTGAACTCGTAAGTGGCTCGGATCGCTGGAAATGTAGTCATGGCTAGAAGAACCATGACCAAAAACAGCTTTGGTATGAAATTTAACGCCAATGGGTTCATGCATGGGAGCTAATTGAGCAACCAAGGGAATAGGTTACTTAGGAAAACTTAAGGAGCAATTAAGGTTTTGAAATTGCTTGGTGAGTTTCAGTTACGGCTCTACTTTCAATATATAATATAAAAGGGAGCAATTATTTCTGCTAATCAGCTGTTTAACTTCTCTAAATTACTTCCACGTTGCTTCCTGATCACTTGAGAATTGTTTAGGCAATAATGCATCCATGCATGCAACACGCCCTAATATGCAAATGTCAACTATTTGACTTCTAGATTACTTCCTAATCACTTGAGAATTGTTTATGCATAATGCTTGCATGCAACTCCCATTATAAATAGATTTTTGTGTACATGAGGCATCAAATTGTTTTATTTCTTGTTCAAGAGAAGAAATTTTTTAACTTCTACACGTTTTCCTCCTTAATCAATGTAGTTTATGAAGGAAGTAAATCATTATAGATGTCGATTTGAAGAAATTTCCAGAATGACAAACAAAGATAAACAGAGAAGCAAAGAACCAAATTAAAATTTACTCTCACTCATCTTCGCTTCTCAGGTTTCTTTGCTTCTCACTTTAGCAAACATCATCATCCTCCCTACGGTATCATGGGTTGACAGAGAGTTGTGCCACATGTGTGCCAAATAGAAAACAGATTGCTGATTCAGAAGAGAATAAAGGCTACTGCAATATTTACTCACTGAGGTTGTTTATGTTTTTGGTTAAAAAGAGAACATTTTGACTAAATTTCTACACACAGAAAATTTTGGCTAGGTTTTCAAATTTCTCGTGGAAAACCAAATGGGACTAGAATACGAATTGATTTTTCGAAAAACAAGGGAATTTGGCTTAAATAATGAAATTATAATGTTGAAATAGTCACTTTTGGGATTTTGTTGATACTTTGCTAATATTTATTTGATAAATTTATCAAGTTATCACTGTATTAAAAAGCAGCAACGATGCCCAATCGCGGTAATTTTGCTTAAATGAGAAAAAAATCGAGATGTGGGTTAGGTGGCAGCTAGCTAGCCGGCTGTTTAGGCAGAGGTCAAGTCCCCTCGTGACCGTGACAACTGAACGAACACCATGAAAAAACCCTCCCCAAAATTATTTTGTAATTTTAGATTTCCCCTTAAGGGTTATGTAATTTTGCATTTTGGTCCCCTTATCTATTTACCTATCCGGATCTCTTTTCAGATTTTCTCTCCTCTCTTCGCTTGCCACGTGGCAGCCCACTAAGTCACCTTCTTCTCTCTCTTCTCCCCGAGTCAACACTCTCTGCTCTCTCTCTCTCCTCTCTCGTCTTGCCACGTGGAATCACAACCTACACAAAGAATACAGGTCAAGAACCGAAGATTTCCCACAAAATATTCCAAAATACAAGCATATAAAACAAAACAAAATCAGATGGAGGGGACTACCCCAAAACCCCCTTATCCTTCCACTGGAGTGGAGAAAGAGAGAAATAAGAAACAAAGAAATCCCCCAAAAATCAGAAATCTCATTGTAACTAACTACATTGGTATACAATATAATACAATTTAAAGGTTCGGGAATTTGAAAATTACCTTCAATGGTGAACCCATTCTCTGTCCATGATTACAAGCCTTTCCCTATTCTTGTCGCTCTTCTCCAACCAGTGCTTAGACAACCATACTTGTTACCAGTAAAGAAAAAATATATAAAGACCCAAACTGAGCTGCTTATGTACTGATTTTCAGTAATATATGACTATAGACTAGATATTTTGGGAATATATGCTTGAAATTAAGACCAATAAAATAGCCCAGGACATCCAATGTACATCGGTTTTAGAGATATTTCATTCTACTTACAAGGCGCTGACAAAAATATCCGATTACTTTAGCCCTAACAAAAATATAAGCATATGAATTACAAACAAATCAGATCTATGGCACTACCTCAAAAGAGAGGACAAAATGCCAGAAAAATCGAAAATAAAACAAAGAAACAGAGATTTCCCAAAAAAATACAAGCATTTGAACAAAAGAAGTCATATGTGTATCACTACCTCAAAACCCCCATTTTCCTTCCAGTGGAGTGGGAAGAGAGAGAGAGGATAATGATGCTAGGGTTTCTCTCAGTCTGCCCTTTGTGGGCTTTTAGATACAAAGGAGGTAATATATATACACACACACACACACACATATTATAGGAATGTGTCATCTACACATTCTATTTTATTTCACATACACATACCTTATTACTTTACAGTTGTATGATCAAATAAATTAAGGATCAAAGGATACAAACTAACAAGAGGTGTGTGAGAAGTAAAAAAATGTATAATATTTTCAGTTGGGCATTTGGTTATCAAATTATTTTGGAGACCAAAATAAATAAATATCATTATATTGTGTTGTTCTTTCAAATTATTTTGGGCAATCAATTAGAGGTATAGAATATAATCGTCATATAATTTTCAGAAATGACCTGTTAAGCGAAATTCTGCTTTCCATATTGAAATATGTGTTCTTATTCCACAAAAATAACACTCAAACATGTGTAATTTTTCCCTTTGTTCCATCGGGGGTTATTTAAGCAGTGTTTCTAAAGGGATGGATATATTTATACTTAAAAAATATGACATATACTTAGAAAATATGACATACTTATTTCCTCTAATCGAAACAGCGGAATATAGCTTCTTCAAATTAAAGGTAAGGATTTATGTTCCATTAGAATAACAATAAGAAAACAATTAAACACCAACACATCAGGACATGGTTCACTCACAATTTCCAGAATTTCCATTACTCAATTCAATTTTAGTATAAAGATTATATCCAGATATTCCAAAAGTGATACCAACATATATATCAACAGCAAACTTACAGATTCAATCAAGCTCAACTATTATCGTATTTGACTCCTCGACACATTCGACCAAGCCCGACCATCCAATCTATCCACCAACTGAGAGATTAGGACACTTTAAAAGGATAATCAAGCACAACAAGAGTCGGTAGATAACTACCTTTTAAGTTATATCCATGGCTGCCCATTTTAGCTTGCTTGCACAGATAGAAAAGTGATGCATATGCTCATGTGAACTTAGCATATTCAATCCAACGTTTGAACTCTTGGCCACTTCCTTCAAATAAAATTTTTACCAAAGTGATGCATACAAAATGGTGCACAAGTACGGAGAGCACAGGTCAGGGAATCCAAATGGAGGGTAGCACATGCCTGAAGAACGCATACAAAATGAGCGTCACAGATGCAAGAAGAGAATATCAAATCTTTCAAACAGGATACATGCACATTTCAAGATCTGTCATCTGCATAAAGATTGAAGCTTAAAGGTTCATTGATGTTTATGTAGACGAATCTTTTAAAATGGTGTATAGCCTTCGTGTAGCATGAGCATGACAGAAGTACTCGCTTCCTAAATTATGGTTCACCAAATTTCATGATATCTCACTCCTCTGTATCAACAAAGAGCCAGCCAAGAACTCAATTACGTTTATAGAAAATAGCCAAATACAAAAAGAAACATAAGAAACTAGAGAACCAAAACAGGTCCTGGCTTACTTCTGTGCTACAAGCCTACAACAGGACCAGATTTCAAGCATCAAATGTACAGGGCACGGTTTCTTTCGGTGTCTGACTATGTGTTTCTCATAGACTCGCTGCAACAAATTGAAAACACGAGTTTAATGAGATAAATGATTTGGAAAATTTAGACATGAAAAGCCATGAATTGCTCTAACAAGGCAAGGTACGCCATGTGATAAGATAAACAAGCAGCAAGAATGGTGATAGAAACAAATCAGGGAATCAATTAACGAATAACTACCTTTTGGCATCCATGTCTTTTACAGCCGCTAAAAGCATTATTAGTTCCACTTTCCGACACGAAAGACCGCAACCCATTAATGAGTTATGAGATCATCTATTAAGAACTCGTTAAGATAACAACTGTCAAAACTTATTTACACTCGTAGTTTTAACTTTTGACCCAAAAAAAAAAAAAAAAAAAGGGACAAAAACTGACATGTGAAAGTAAGTACGCTTCTCACATTGTCACATTAGAAGCTGAGGAGATGAATTTTTATGGCTCTTTTTCTACTTGGAAAGGAGTGTTGCATGGCACAAGGCTATAAAAGATGGTTTAAGATGGAGACTTGGTGATGGTTCTCAGATTAAGTTCAATTTGCTACTTTGTCTCTTAATCGTGATCATTTGGGAGAGGTGGTTTCTAATTTTATTCAGAATGGTGAGTGGGATATATTCCAAAGCTTTGCCAAGTCGGATGCGGGAGGGCTTTAACTCTATGAGGATACAAGGAAGACTTGACATAATGGGTTTGATGCTAGCTTGGTCTAATAACCTCAGCACAAGGAAGCTATAATGTCAAGGACTGTGAAACTAGGCATGTCAAGCGAAGCAAGCAAACGCAAAACAAGTAAAAGACATACTCGCGAGGCACCAAAGCTAGCCACGTCTAGTTACGCAATGCATCAGAAGCAAGGGCAAGATACGATATCTGAAGCCACGAGAATGCAAACGCACATTGACATGACACAGAGGTACAGCTTATAAAATTGCGGAAAAAAAAAATTCACACTCGTCATTCAATTAAGTCAAATCTAAAACCTCTTATGTATCTAAAATTGCAAAAAAAAAAAAAAAAAAAAAAAAAAATCACTAGACAGTAGTATTAATTGTGAGAGAAGAGCATAATGAGAAAAAAATCACTAGACAGTAGTATTAATTGTGAGAGAAGAGCATAATGAGATGCATGTGGGGCAAGACGTTATCCCTTGGGCAGGTGTCTTAAGATATGTGCTTTGGTGGGATTTTAAGACCCATTTCAGTGAATGGTAAGTGAATGTCGTTAATTGAACAAAAGGGAAACGGGTCAACAACGACATTAATTGCAATGACGATTAAACCAATAAAAAGCATTAATAATCAATTTTGAAGCTGCTGTCAAATTTGACAGCAACTCTCTTGCTACCAATCCATGTTATTGCCAACATAGGATTTGACATTTCAGTTGGAGAACATTCGTGTGGTCCTTTTTTTACTATTATAGCTTATATGGACATTTTGATATCTTCTTTGTAAATGCTCTTACATATCAGATAATGTATTTATTATGTATTCAACTTTATTTTATTTTTAGAGGCATGTTAGCAACTTTCTCACTTGTCTTTTTTTTTTTTTTCCTCATGTCACATGTGGCACTGAAAATTAGAATAATATTTATATTAAAATCCGACTAATTTTTTTTCCTCATGTCACATATGGCACTCAAATTAATGTCGTTGTTGACCCATTTCCCTTTTGTTCAATCAAGGGAAGTGAATGGTCCCCTCTTGTTAAAAGAAATGGTGAACAGTCCGGATTTCATAATTATTAAATGCCTATTATTAAGTTTTATTAATTTAATCATTTATTTTATAATATAATTAAATAAAATAATAATTTAATTTGACATATCGGATGGATAATAAAACTTTAAAAGATGTCAAAATGCCACATAAGCTGTCAAATTTAAATTTTATGTTCGAAATTTGACATCTCATTTGAAGATGCTCTAATAAAAACGAGGGAAAGTCAGGCATTCATACTAAACCATATATTCAAATTGGGTTCCTAAAAGGCTAAAATCAAAATTTATCTTCAATCTCCCAGCAATGAACTAGTAATGTGCGAATGTATTGAATAATTGAAATTAATTTCTCTGTTTACAAAATTTCTATTCTCATTAACTCGAGCCAAACTTAAGTTGGAGGTCACAGTCGAATTATCAGCCAACCAACCGTGACCTCGAGCCCGATCCAAAAACGAATCGAGCTGAACTTCAGCTTGAATAAATCATTCCAGGCGATCCTGAAAACAACTATATATATGCTGCAGATAATTAAACAAGCATGAGGCCATCAGATATCTTCATGATATGACATGAACATTTTTTACTCATTCGCCAGCTAACTAGCTTAGGCTATATAATTTCCAAAGCAACAGATCATCTAGGGCTTAGCTAGCTGCTAATTAAACTGAAAAATACAAATGGAAACAAGAGGCTTGATTTCAAACATTGATAAGACAAAAGGTTAATGTAACAAGATTTTATTCATAATAAACGATAACAAATTTTCACAACCAAACCGAATTAAGCATATGATAAAAATAAGAACATGAACTAAATGTTCATAGATACATAGTATAACAGAAAAATACACGCGATTTTTTGCTAATAATGTCTCACTGTAACGTTGCATTGTGTAACAAAGTATGCATTTGGAAGGTCCACAAAAACCGTTTTATACGTAATATATCCCTGAACAAATCGAAAGTTTCCGGCACCTGAAACCACTGATAATTCTCTATATTGCTCGAATTGCTTATCAATTCCTTGTATCTGTAGAGTGCTTCCATTGTACTTTTTGTTTGTGAACACAATTGATAACATATCATAGGCATTACGTCCATCCAATGACGATACCATAAACATGCCTTGTATCCGGCCAACGGAGGCGGATTTTAGATCTATGCCCTCCGTTAAAGGGGCATCCTCCGCATAAACAGTGGCAAATTGATCGTAGTTCCAAATCTTGCCGGGAATACCTGCAAACGCAACATCTGTGATATTTGGACCAGATAAGAAGTCATGAGCGTAGAAAGACAGGTGGGTTTCCTTGAACTCGTGAGTGGCTTGGATCGCTGGAAATGTAGTCATGGCTAGAACAACCATGACGAAAAACATGGATGGAGCACTGAGCTTTGGTATGAATTTTAACGCCATTAGTGGATGCATGACAGCTAATTGAGCAACCAAGAGAAAAGGTTAATTAGGAAAAATTAGGGAACAATTAAGGTTTTGAATTGCTTGGTGAGGTTCAGTTATGGGTATGCTTTCAATTTATACATGGAAAAGGAGCAATTATTTCTGCTAGTCAGCTGTTTAACTTCCCTAAATTACTTCCGTGTTGCTTCCTGATCACTTGAGAATTGTTTAAGCAATAATATCTCCATGCATGCAACACACTTTAATATACAAATACATTAAATCCTGTTGCCACCTGACTGCACCAGATAAGATGTCATGAAAGTAGAAAGACAGCTGGGTTTCTTTGAACTCGTAAGTGGCTTGGATCGCTGGAAATGTAGTCATGGCTAGAAGAACCATGACCAAAAACAGCTTTGGTATGAAATTTAACGCCAATGGGTTCATGCATGGGAGCTAATTGAGCAACCAAGGGAATAGGTTACTTAGGAAAACTTAAGGAGCAATTAAGGTTTTGAAATTGCTTGGTGAGTTTCAGTTACGGCTCTACTTTCAATATATAATATAAAAGGGAGCAATTATTTCTGCTAATCAGCTGTTTAACTTCTCTAAATTACTTCCACGTTGCTTCCTGATCACTTGAGAATTGTTTGGGCAATAATGCTTGCAAGCAACACACCCATTATAAATCAAATTTTACTCTCACTCATCTTTGCTTCTCACTTTAGCAAACATCATCATCCTCCCTACGGTATCATGGGTTGACAGAGAGTTGTGCCAAATAGAAAAGAGATTGCTGATTCAGAAGAGAACAAAGGCTACTGCAATATTTACTCACTGAGGCTGTTTATGTTTTTGGTTAAAAAGAGAATATTTTGGCTAAATTTCTACACAAAGAGAAAATTTTGGCTAGATCTCAAATTTCTCGCGGAAAACCAAATGGGACCGGAATACGAATTGATTTTTCGAAAAACAAGGGAATTTGGCTTAAATAATGAAATTATAATGTTGAAATAGTCACTTTGAGGATTTTGTTGATATTTTGCTAATATTTATTTGATAAATTTACTAAGTTATCATTGTTCTAAAAAGCAGCAATGATGGCCAATCGCGGTGATTTTGCTTAAATGAGAAAAAAATCTAGATGTGGGTTAGGTGGCAGCTAGCTAGCTGGCTGCTTAGGCAGAAGTCAAGTCCCCTCGGGACCGTGACAATTGGACGAACACCATGTAAAAACCCTCCCCAAAATTATTTTGTAATTTTAGATTCCCCCTAAAAGTTTATGTAATTTTGCATTTTGGTCCCTTATCTATTTACCTATCCAGATCTCTTTTCAAATTTTCTCTCCTCTCTTCGCCTGCCACGTGGTAGCCCACTAACTCACCTCCTTCTCTCTCATCTCGCCGAGTCAACACTCTGTTCTCTTTCTCAGCTCAACTCTTGCTCTCACACTCTCTCAGACTCTCCTCTCACTCCCTTTCCCAATCGACACCCACACCCCCAACCAAGCATCCCAACGACGACGCACCGCCACCACCACCACCACCACCACCATCGTGGAATCTCTCTCTCTCTCTCTCTCTCTCTTTCTCTCTCTCTCAAAACCCAAAAGGACCAAGGCCTTTGGGCCGAGAAACCTAGGGCCCTTGGCCCGCTAAACCCCCCAAACCACAAACCCTTTGTATCAGGCATTCGGGCCGTGTGGAACGTGGGCTCTAAGCCCAAAACCCTAAACCCAATAACCTTACACTTTTGCTTTGGGCCAGGCTTTCAAGCCCAGGCCCTTTGACCTAAAATTTTGTTATCTGATTCTGTTCTAATTAAGATGATTTATTTGTTTTTAAAATTTTAATTATTTCGTATTTATTTTGTGATTGCAGATGTTTAAATGATGGAGAGGTTCGGAAAGCTGTTACTCGGAGGAGACATGTCTGTAGAGGGAAAGGTGTCTGCACTGCCCTTGCTATCTCAAATGCCATCACCAATCTCTCTGGTTAGTCACATTCCTCTTGGAATATGCTTATTCTTATGTGATGTTGGCTGATACCTTGGTGAATCAACTTAATAAAAAATGTGAGATGAGCAAATTGAAAAGCCTAGTTTCTTCTCATATGCATGCTTCTTGGCGGGGCATAACTAATCGCATCAGATCTTCTCAAAGAAAAAGGTGAAAAGTGCAAAGTCAATGCTTGAAGTAATTAAGCGGTGATTAATGCTCACGTCAAGGTATGACCAGCCAAAATAGGGGCCTCATTACAACCTAATTAGGTTAGCTTAAAGTTGATTCACTTAAATTTTAGAAACCCAGACATCATGGTACAAGAAATCCCAAGTTGTATCTATTGCCCTTGCTATCCAAATGAACTTCGTTGCACCATCATAATCTTTTGCTATAAGTAAAAGCAATGCACCCTTCATATTCTAAGGTACTGGTATTGCATAAATATCTAGAAATTTTTTGCGGAAATTATAAATCCATTTTAATCCAACAATTATCAATGCATTTCGAAACTGGAAAAAAGCATGACATCAAACTTACCCAAAATATAAAAGCAGTGTCACAGGTGCTAGCAAATCTCAGATTTATTAACTGAGCAACCAAAATACAAAATACTCTGTTAGCCAGGAAAGGCCTAATGGAGCACCGCAACTGATAACAAAACGAAATCGTTAGGGTTTTATCCAAATTAGTAAAAATCCAAAATAAAATTGAAAGACAACCATTATAAAACACACCTTAGCTGAATAACATCTGTTCCGCAACGATCTGATGACAGGTCGCAACCAAAACGAGCTGGAAAGCAACCAAAATTCAAAATTAAACATAAAATTTTAAATTCACGACGCAATGACCCGAATTAAATACAAAATCAAGGTCCTTTCAGAAACATAAGCTTAAGAAGGCGAAAATTTGAAACCTTTCGAAAGCGCAGAAATAGAGAGTAAAAAGAATTGTGGGAAAAGTTGGGAAATTTACCAGAGGGGTTTAGGTGGAGGCGCCGAGAGGAGCCGATCGGCAAGGCGGATTGAAGCTCGAAGGGCCTAACTTGGACTCTCCGGCCGTGGCGAGATTTAGGGTCTTTCCATAGACAGGAAACCTAGATTCGGAGACATGAAGTATAACAATTATATATAGGGATAAAGATAAGGACAAAGATTTTGAAGATATTTTTACATTAGTTTGTAGCCTTTAGATCTTATCATATTCAACGGTCTTGATCAGAAGTGATATAAATACTTTTAAAATTTTAAACAAAATGATGTGGTTGTAGATGATTGAATTATTATCTAAATGTCAATTAACGTGTTTGTTTTCTTATCAGTAGTTGTATTAAGCTATTGAAATTACACTTAATTACTTCCTTCTTTCGGTCAACATGGTGATTAAGATTTTATGTTCATCTACCACTTTATATCAAGAATTGCGATTATTATTTAAAAGAACATTTATTTATTCTATCTCCAACCTTTATAAGAAAATTCAAAACGGGTGATCATGCATTTCTGTTGAAATCCTTGTATTAATTGTTCATCCACTCCATGATTTGATGCTCCACATGCAGATTCTTAGTGGGCAAGCATGTACCTGCCATCATTACAACTATAGTCATCGTTTCCATAAAGGGAGGACATTAACTTCTGGAAAGGAAGGTTGCATGTGGTTGCTGTGCTGTTGCACCTGGACAGCAGGGAGAACATTTTAATATTGCTGCATGTGTGTTGTTGCTGCATGTGGCATCGGTGTAAAGCATTTCTCATCATGTAGTATAGGTGTAAAGTTTTGATTTGATTATGTATAAGTATTGTAAAATGTATGATAGTTCAAATCAGTTGGAAATCGATTCTTTCAACATACATACACTTCGCCATTTTTAGATGGTATCAGAGCACCTTCCTGGTGCCTGAAACGCTATCTCGTTGTTCATCATGAGTGACGAAGAAACTCCTAAACACAAACCACAACTCACAACAACAATGGACATCACTGATCCATTCTACATTCATCACTCGGATCACCCGAGTCTACACCTTGTTTCCAAACCATTGGATGGTGACAATTATTCCACATGGAGCCGTGCGATGACAATCAGCCTCAGCGCCAAGAACAAGCTCGGTTTTGTGGATGGTTCGATAGAAGCCCCGGAAAAAACCGACGCCAAATATTCCCTTTGGAAACGGTGCAATGATATGGTCCTCTCATGGGTCGTTAGTTCTGTTGGTAATGATTTGATGAGCAGCGTCCTATACACGGATTCACCCTCTGAGATATGGGAGGATTTGAAGGAACGTTTCTCGCAAGGAAACGTTTCTCGCATTTTTCAAATTAAAAGAGAGATCATTGAACATCGACAGCGTCAACAATCCATATCGGCATACTATACCAAACTCAAAGGACTTTGGGATGAACTAGCGTCCTACAATACCATTCCAGCCTGCACATGTGGAACGATGAAAGCGATCAATGAAAGAGAACAACAGGAACAGGTTATTCAATTTCTCATGGGATTGAATGACTCTTATTCGGCTGTTCGTGGACAAATCCTCTTAATGCAGCCACTACCAAACATTCGTAAGGTATATTCTTTGACTTTACAAGAAGAAAAACAAAGAGAGGTGGCAGAAGGTGGTGAAAGTAACACCACACATGCCATGCACGTATCCAAGACCACCTGGAATAAGCAGCCTCGCAAGCCGAACAATGGTGGCAAGGCAAACACTGGTAAGGATTTTCATTGTACTTACTACGATGGAACTACTCATACAGTTGATTACTGTTTCTACCTTCACGGATTCCCTCATGGCCACAAGTTTCACGGGAAGGACGTAAAGCCTCCTAACAAAACCAGGCGCGCAGCAGCCAATAATGCCCACAAAGAAGAGGCCAAGTCGAGCACTACCAAAGAACCTGTTGGTTTGAAATTCACAGTGGATGAGATCAACCAAATCAAGGCTATTCTTCGTGGTGATGGTAAAAATCAGTTTTTTGCAAATGCAGCAGGTATACCTAATACACGATGCTATTCTTTTTCCACAAACAGTCCAGATTCTTGGATTATTGACAGTGGGGCTACAGATCACATTTCTTCTTCTTTTAATTTACACGACAAAAGGAGACCACATTCTTCCTCTGTCAATCTGCCAAATGGGTCACAAGCACCAATTTCTTGTCTTGGTTCAATCAAACTCACTCCAAATTTAAACCTAAAAGATGTCCTTTGTGTTCCTGGTTTTCGAGTTAACCTGATGTCAGTTAGCAAAGTTACTCGAGGATTAAATTGTTTGATCATTTTCTTCCCTACTTTTTGTCTCTTACAGGATTTGGCAACGAAGAAGATGATTGGATTAGGGAAGGAGCGTGATGGCCTGTATTACCTAGTCCCAGTCACAGAAGACTTCGTCTTTCGACAGAATAAGCCTGGGGTCGTTGCTGCTTCTGCATCCGCATCATCCAATGTCTGGCACCAACGCCTTGGACACCTTTCCACTGGTCCAGCCCATGTCTTATCTAGTTCCATTCCTGATATTTCTTTTGATTTTGATTCTCATTGTGATGTCTGTCCAGTAGCCAAACAAACAAGGTTACCTTTTCCCTTAAGTTCTACTTCTAGTCTGCAACCTTTCGAGTTAATACATTGTGATATTTGGGGTCCGCATCGTTTGCCATCTTCATCAGGTGCTAAATACTTCTTAACCATAGTTGACGATTACTCCCGATTTACTTGGCTCTTTCTCATGAATTTAAAATCTGAAACACAAGAGAAAATCAAACTGTTTTTTGCTTATGTCAACATTCAATTTCAGCGTCAAGTTAAACAAGTACGCACTGATAATGGCACAGAATTCATATCCATGCGTTCATTTTTTGCCAACTCAGGCACTGTTTTTCAACATACTTGCCCACACACACCTTAACAAAATGGGGTGGTGGAGCGTAAACATCGACACCTCCTTAATGTAGGTCGCGCACTTCGTTTTCAAGCAAACCTTCCCCTCAAATTTTGGGGAGAAAGTCTTCTCACTGCCACTTATCTTATCAATCGCACACCAACCATTGTTTTATAAAAAAAAAAACACCTTATGAAATGCTCTACACACGCCCCCCCACTTATATGCACTTACGGGTTTTTGGGTGTCTTTGTTATGCTACACACACCTCCCCTAAACACAAGTTTGATGCTAGGGCTCACAAGTGTCTCTTTGTTGGTTACCCTTATGGACAAAAGGGGTATCGTCTCTACAATCTTCACACTCATCAATTTTTTACTAGTCGTGATGTGGTTTTTCATGAACATATCTTCCCTTTTGCCCATCATCCTCCCGACACCCAACCTGATGAAGTTGTGCCCGTCATTCCTCTTCCCTTCACCGATACCATATCAGATTCTTCCACCTTTCCACAAGAACCCTCATCTCCCATCATCTCTAGTCCGCACATTTCTCCTCCTTCACCTTCCGTAACTGTCGTCCCTTTCTCACTATCACCTGTGTCGCCCCCATCTTCTCTTACTTCTCCCCGTCCTGTCAACTCTACCCCACCACCTGCCCTTGGTCGTGGCCTCCGCCCCAAGCAACCTTCTGTCTTATTAAGGGATTATGACTGTTCACAGGTCACCACGGCGCCTTCCACGTCCACTTCTTCTTCGCGGTCAGGTACTCGCTATCCCCTCTCTCATTATCTCTCTCCTTCGCATTTATCACCATCTCATCAAGTGTTTATCAATAATATCACTCGTAGCATCGAACCCACTTCTTTTGCTCAGGCCAACCTTGATCCTAATTGGCAAGCTGCCATGCAGTCTGAACTTGCTGCACTTGAACAGAACCATACCTGGACACTCACTTCCCTGCCTCCTGGAAAACGTGCTATCGGCAGCAAGTGGGTTTACAAGATCAAACATCGCTCTGATGGCTCCATCGAGCGCTTTAAAGCGCGTTTGGTTGCTAAAGGTTACACACAAATTGAAGGCCTGGACTATTCTGAAACATTTGCACCCGTGGCCAAACTTACCACTGTTCGTTGTTTATTGGCTGTGGCTGCTCAACGCCACTGGCCTCTCCATCAACTCGATGTCCAGAATGCTTTTCTCCATGGTGATTTGGACGAAGAAGTTTTCATGTCTCCACCTCCTGGACTTCGTCGACAGGGGGAGAACTTGGTTTGTCGACTCCATAAATCCCTCTATGGCTTGAAGCAGGCTTCCCGTCAATGGTTTTCGAAGTTTTCTCAAGCTATTCAACTCATGGGATACAAACAATCAACTGCAGACTATTCATTGTTCACCTGCACTACTGCGCATTCCATTACAGTGGTTCTTATCTATGTTGATGACATGATCATTACAGGGAACAACCATGAGGCCATTCAACATTTAAAACAATTTCTTCATCATCAGTTTCGTATTAAGGAGCTCGGACCTCTCAAATATTTTCTTGGGATTGAAGTGGCTCGTTCACAGCAAGGCATTTCTATCTCACAAAGGAAATATGTTTTGGACATACTGGACGATGTTGGACTATTAGGGGCATGTCCAGTGGATTTTCCCATGGAACAAGACTTGAAGTTAAGGCCAATAGATGGTGAATTATTAAAGGATCCAACCAGATATAGAAGGATCGTGGGACGACTCATTTACCTCACCATAACGAGGCCAGATATCACATTTTCTGTCCAAAATCTTAGCCAGTTCATGAACCAACCACGCAAGCCTCATCTTGAAGCTGCTATGCGAGTCTTGAAATACCTCAAAGGGACTCCAGGACAAGGTCTATTTTTTCCATCTACAGATGCTTTACAATTGAGTGGTTACTGTGACGCTTCATGGGCATCATGTCTAACGACTAGAAGGTCTGTGACAGGTTATTGTGTGTTTTTGGGGAAATCACTTATCTCCTGGAAGACTAAAAAGCAACATACGGTTTCACGATCGTCTGCAGAGGCATAATATAGATCAATGGCTGCAATCACTTGTGAACTTACGTGGCTTCGTTATCTGTTACAAGATTTACAGGTCTCCCATGCAGCTCCAGCTCATGTTTACTGTGACAATAAGGCAGCGCTACACATTGCAGCTAATCCAGTTTTCCACGAGCGAACTAAACATATCGAATTAGATTGTCACTTGGTCCGAGAAAAGTT